TCCCTGCAAGTGCTAAAGTGGCGCAAGTTGTTCGTGACAAAACCCTAGTAAAAACTGAGAAGGCACTGAACATATGGATCGACAGCAACATGATTCGTGAAAGCTAAAAGTCTTTATGCTCATTTTTATAAATTAACAGGTGGTGAAGGGGCTAATGCAGCTACTGAACCAACTTTTAGTGCCAGTAAATGTTGGTTTGAGAATTTTAAGAGTATATTTTCTCTCCATAATGTGAAGCTGACTGGGCAGGCCACTTCAGCTGACCACACAGCAGCAGATGCATTTCCCGCCAAGTTAAAGAAAATAATAGAAGAGAAAGGCAATACACCAAAGCAAGTGCTTAATGCCGATGAATCCGGTCTATATTGGAAAAAGGTGCCTGGCAGAACATGCATAAACAAGGAGCAGTGTGCCTCTGGGTTCAAGGACAGAGTGACACTCATCTTCTGTGGCAGCACAGCTAGCCACACGATCAAACCTGGCTTGCTTTACTGCTCTGCAAACCCTGGGGCTTAAAGGGCAAAAACAAGAAGCCAGTTTTGGGCAATCAAACAAAATTGCATGGGTAGCTGTGCAAGCATTCCTAGATTAGTTCCATAAAAGTTTCATCCCAGAAGTGGATAAGTACCTTGCTTCCAAGAAGATGGAATTGAAGGTGCTATTATTGATAGATAATGCACCAGGCCACCCATAATGTTTGCATTTTAGCCATCCAGGTGGAGGCGGTGTTCCTACCTCTCAACACCACTGCTCTCATTCAGCCTCTCGATCAGAGTGTAATACGCACTTTCAAGGCATATTACACCCGATACTCTTTTAGTGGTATCTGTCGTGCCATGGACGCAGACCCTGACCTTGATGTTAGCAAGTGTTGGAAGGAGTACAGCACGGCAGACTGCATTACCAACATCAGTGAAGCATTCAATGAACTCAAACCAGAGGATGCGAGTGTTGCACGTCAGTTGGATGGTGAGGGGTTTGTGGACATGGCTGCTTAAGACATGGAAGAGCTGATTGATGGGCATGAGAGGAACTGAGGATTTGGACGAGTTGGTAAAAAGTGCTGCGGAAGATGAAGAAGAAATTATGGAATTGCATTAAGAAGGTTGGGGGTTGAACAATTTTGGTGAACTATTCGACAGGCGAAGATGGTAACTGATTTCATTGTTGACCACGAACTTTCCATGGAGCGGAGACTTAGGATGGTCAGAGGAATCACCAAGTATTATTTCCGTCCCAGGAAATGTTTAAAGACCTCAAAGCAAACAAGAAACAACTACCAATCATCATGTTTTTCAAGAAAGAACCAGCTGCTACTGCCACTGGTCCACCCTCCTCCTCCCAGCTGCACTCCTCTCCACCAACCATCACTGCATCACCCTCTTCCAACAGTGATCCTGATGATCCCCCATGTAAATTACACCACTTCATCAATCTCCAAACTTCCACATACAAATGTAAGTAGTACTGGTGACATAAGTTTCTCAGGCACAGTGCACTAAGCTACTGTATTATGTAAGTTGCTATTCCCCATTTTGCTAATTCGCGCCATTCCTTGAAATGTAACCCTTGCGAATAACAAGGGTTAACTGTACTTTATTTTCAAACAAATTCACAGATGCATTATTTTGTTGTACAATCAAAGACGAACGCCGTGTCGCGGTTTTGTCCAAAGATTAAATATAACTCGTGAAACATACAAGAGCCCCCTACCACAAGGCAGAGCGCACCAAAAGTTTTAGCCCTTCAGCATATCTTTTCACCAAATTTCACGACACGACTTTTGTCTTTCATTGTACATTTTAATAAACTCAAACTCAACAATATTTAGATGGTAAGAAAATCACACTACAGTACAGTAAACTGCTACAACACACTCCAAAAGGGACATAATCTTTCAGTCCCCAATAAAGAAAAACTGGGAAGTAATAACATTCACTCAAGGATGTCAAAATTTTATAGGCATATTGACACAGGGGAAGCTTCAAAAGTTCTGAATAAAATTAATGCTTACACTTGTACACCAGTTCCAAAAATTTATACCAACACGAAAGAAATTAATTCCCTGTGATCAAATCCGTGGAACACTTGGTTCAATATATGTAAGTGTTGGCACACCAACATTATTTGATGCCATGTATCATTACTGTAATAGTATCAAGAAAATATAATTGAAAAAATTATCATAATTATGGGATAATGAACAAAACTCATCATCATCCTCCACAAAAAAATGGATATTGATGTGGAAGAAAAATGTTTTGTTTTGTTTTTAAATAGTATCTCCAGAAACAAAATTCCAAGAAAATTTTTAATACACCCCAAAAATATAAATATCAAATTACAGAGATATTACAACTTACTATTTTCTTGCCCTGTGTCAAGGTGCTGCTGTCTAGTCATCAAAAACTATCTTCTTGTTTTGACTAGTACCATTCATGCCTAGGCCTGGGCTTTTATTAAAAGCTCCCCCAAATCCAACCCGTCCTCTCGAAGAATCTCCATCATGACCCCCTCCGAAACCCCCTCTCCCACCCCTGAAACCTCCTCTATCTCCACCCCTGAAACCTCCTCTATCTCCACCCCTGAAACCTCCTCTATCTCTACCCCTGAAACCTCCTCTATCTCCACCCCTGAAACCTCCTCTATCTCCACCCCTGAAACCCCCTCTATCTCCACCCCTGAAACCCCCTCTATCTCCACCCCTGAAACCTCCTCTATCTCCACCCCTGAAACCTCCTCCAAATCCCCCACGACCGCGGGAAGAAAAGCCATTGTCATCGTCACCATTTTCAACTTTATTTCTAAATCCACCACGACCACTCGGGGAAAAACCTTTATCGTCACCACCACTACCATTCTCTTCACTGTTTCTGAACCCACCTCTAAAACCACCACCCCTACCTCTACCTCGAAACCCTCCAGCTCCATCATTGTCTCTTCCAAAGCTCCTACGGTCCCCCTTGAAGCCACCTCTACCCCCCCTGAACCCTCCTCGGTCACCTCCATCCCGGTTTCCAAATCCTCCCCGGCCACCTCTGACTCCTCCACGGCCTCTAAACGAGTCATCTTTCCCTTTAAAGCCCAGGCCAGCACGGAATGGTTTATTGTCGGTGGCATCATCTTCAACCTCGTCGTCCTATAAAAAAAAGAGAGGAAACAGATAGAATGGGCAGCCATAACAATTACCTTAGCTTCGAAAGAATTGTTAAACTTGGAGTCAACCGCTACGTCTTCTGGTCTTACTCTCCTGTATGGTTCCTTCTGTTTAAATACAAAAGAAAAAGGTGTAGTCAATGACAAAAGAATGACAGAAAACTTTTAAAGCTCTGTTCACTATGTTCATTGATCTATGTCACATAAAACTTACTGTTTTGGTTCTGCCAGGTGTTGTGTACGAGCCATTCATGGACCCATTCCAGGAATTATTCAAAGAGCTGTTAAATGATTCCTGAAAAAGGCAACAATTTACTGTACATAATATATGAAAAAAAAAATTATATATATATACAGTGAACCCTCACTTTACGCGGTTAATTCAACCAACGGCGGCCCGCGTAAAGTGAGAAACGCGTAAAGTGAACAACATAGCATATGGGATTAATTGAAATAGAGACCGGGCCGACCCCCAAACTCCACTTTTTCAGACACAATACCTACGTTGTAGTAAAAATAACTTCTTAATTTTATAATGGTATGCACACACAATTAATAATTAAGAGAAATATTAATAATATTAGGTTTTTTAACACTTACATTAGTAGAAAAGATGGCTGGGCAGACGGGGATGGGGGGTTGGTTCCGAGGCAGAGGGCAGATTATTGGCCCTCACCTGTATCACTATCCACCACAGAGGCTTGCAGGGCCTCTTTGTCAAACCCCTCAGTCCATATCCACTATAATTATCACTATCACTGACTTGGGCCGGCTGTGGTGGGTGGCGGGTGAAGAACTCGGTAATGTTTTGATGACTGGGCGACCTTGTGCGCACCCTGCTCGCGCTGCTTACACAACATGGCGGAAGATTTGGATCCAAAAGAGGCGCGGCTCGCCAGCCACTCTCCGCGTAAAGGGGTACACGCACCGCGGAATGTGAGCATTCCGGTTTCGGCAGGGTACCGCGTAAACGTGGAACCGCGTAAAGGTCGTTCATTAACCGAAACCATTGTTTCAATGGGTTTTTGGGTAATTGGTTCCAGCTCACCGAAAATTTCCTAAATTCAACAAAAATGGTAGAAAAGTTTACTTACTTTGAGGTGTGTATGTAGAAGGCTTCTGGATGATGATGATGATGATGGGATTTAGAATGGGGGTGGAGGAGAAGGAAAAAGAGAAGACATTGGGGTGGAAGAGAAGTCACCCCATGGAGCCATTTCACCCATAAAATTTTAGCTCTCTTGGTGTAATTCAAGACTATTTTCTTGAAATCAACACTGCACTGCATTATATATTGTCAATATGTAAAATATATTTCAAAATGACCAATAATTTGCTTGGAAACACAGAAAAAAAGCATTTAGTTGAAGAGAGTCTCAAGCAAGATGTTACCTCCAGTGAAAACAGAGAGACACTAACTCCTGTTTGCTGTGTTAAGAGGCTGGATGCCGCGCATTAAACTAGTCACTTTACCTTCAGTTATGTTCAATAATTGTTAAAATGACTAAAAAATTGAATATTAAACTTCTAAAATTATTGAATAGTATAAACTTCTTGATATTTACTAAAATAGTATATATATATATAGATATATATACAGCATTACCCCGCCTAACGCGGTTTCACTTAACGCGTTTTATCATATACGCGGTGCCTCGCCAGAGCTGAACTTTCACTTAACGCGGAATTTTTCATCATATACGCGGGAAGCGGCGCGGGCACGATGCGCACAAGGTCGCCCAGTCATCAAAACATTACCGAGTTCTTCACCCGCCACCCACCACAGCCGGCCCAAGTCAGTGATAGTGATAATTATAGTGAGGATATGGACTTATATGGCCTTTGAGGGGTTTGACAAAGAGGCCCTGCAAGCCTCTGTGGTGGATAGTGATACAATTGATACAAGTGATACAGGTGAGGGCCAATAATCTGCCCTCTGCCTCGGAACCAACCCCCCATCCCCGTGTGCCCAGCCATCTTTTCTACTAATGCAAGTGTTAAAAAACCTAATATTATTGATATTTCTCTTAATTATTAATTGTGTGTGCATACCATCATAAAGTTAAGATAAAATTTTTACTACAACATAGTTGTGTGTCGTCAAAAAGTGGAGTTTGGGGGTCGGGCCGGTCTCTATTGGAATTAATCCCATATGTTCTGTTGTTCACTTAACGCGGTACCCTGTGGGTTCAATTGACCGCGTTAAGCGGGTACTACTGTGTATATATATATATATATATATATATATATATATATATATATATATATATATATATATATATATATATATATATATATATATATATATATATATATATATATATATATCTCGACTTACGACTGGGTTCTGTCCCGACGACCAGGTCCTAAGTCAAAAAGGCGAAAATAATACATAGTAATTAAAAAATGACATACGGCACAGTAAAAGTAATCAATAATGAAAAATGAATAAAGTATTACTGTGAACTGACCTTTAATGTAGTCAGCTGAATGCACACGGGGCCTCAATAATTTTTTATTTAAGCATGGAGACTACATTAATTCGATGAAGCAGAGGAGGAGACAGGGCTGGGTGGGTCGTCAAGTTCGCAGAGGCATTTGCTACTATTAATACAGGGATGCAAAAGTTTGAAGAAATGGATCAAAATGTTTAGTATTTTGCATAAGTTGACAAACTGATCCAAGATCACTTGCTTGCTACAGGGAGATTTCCAGTGAAAAGAAAAGGCAAACTGTGCAGTCTAGATTGGACATATTTTTTAAGAAGTCCCAGACTGCTGTCTCCTCACGCCCCACCACTGCTGCCTCTTCACTCCCTAAAGATGATCCAATACCTTCAACAAGCAAGTATGTTAGCCTGTCTGAAGAAAGCAAACTTGATGACCCACCCAGCCCTGTCTCCTCTGCTTCATCCAATTAATGTAGTCTCCATGTTTAATTAAAAAATTATTGAGGCCCCGTGTGCATTCAGCCGACTACATTAAAGGTAAGTGCACAGTAACACTTTATTCATTTTTCATTATTGATTACTTTTATCGTACTGTATTTCATTTTAGAATTTCTATGTATTCTTTTCGACTTACGACCTGGTCGTCGAAACGGAACCCTGTCATAAGTCGAGGAGAGACTGTACATGTATGTATATACAGTATGTATGTATGTATGTATGTATATATATATATATATATATATATATATATATATATATATATATATATATATATATATATATATATATATATATATATATATATATATATATATATATATATATATATAAAGATCTTAGTGAAACAAACAATGAGGTCTCCCATCCACCAGAAGCATCTATTACTACTCTACTACTTACAGTTATGAAAGCCATGCAGAAAAAAATCTAGTTTTATAAATACTGTACAATACAAGACCTCAAAACTCAAGTCATGTTTAAAATACTGATCATTGACTATCTTTTTTTTTACATTTATACCACGAAAGTTTGCTTACAATAAAACACTGCAGTACACTTCCTAGGCCAAAACAATGATTTGTTTATTAATGTTATTCTGGATGAAGGTATCAGGTACAGCATATCTTAAATCTACATGCACTTGCAGGACACTAATCAGTATAGAGTTTATAGTGAATGTAAATAACTATAGAAGGAAGACCGAGATATAAATGACAGAACGAATGAAAGTAGAAATGAAAATGGAGCATTTCATATACAGTACCTGGGAATGGATGTGTAAGGAAATAGAATGATGATTGATAAAGTGAACAAGATACCAGCAAAAGGAAAGCAAGTACATAATAGGTGAAGAGAAATGGATGTAGAGGGAAAACTATGTCAAAAGAGGAAAAGATAGCAATGTACTGTACAAGGAAATCAAACCGCTAATATTATTACATGAGCATGAAGCAACACCCCTCTGTGGAGCTAAATAATAGTGACAAATGTTGTCAGGGCAACTGTGAAAGGGGGGGGGGGAGTGAAATGTATGGCAGAGAGCAGATTAGGGTATGTTTAGGTGGTATAGGGATATTGTGAGAATGAGATGAACAATTAGTTAAAAGACCATATATTTTAAAGGATGAAAAGTCGGGGCTTGAGGGGAAGACCAAGGAGGTAGAAGGATACACTAGAAGTATCAGCTTCCCAACTAGGCTCTAGTTTTACTGACCTGAGATGCAGATTTTGGATTAGATTTAGTCACAACTTGTTCTTCTTCTTGACTAGAACTTTCTTCAGAGCTTGAGTCTGCCTCATTGTCAGCTGATTTTTTTTTAGCTGCAGGCTTCTCTGCTGCTTTAGCTGGAGGCTTGGCAGGTTCTTCTTCCTCTGAACTTGATTCCTCAGAGCTAGATTCTGCAGGCTGTGATGTAGGTACTTTTGCTGGTGCAGTTGTTTTTTTGGTAACAGGTTTTGCAGGTTCTTCTTCCTCTGAACTTGAATCCTCCGAGCTGGATTCTTCCGTCTTTGCAGGTCCCTTTTTAACTGATACAGCTGGCTTTTGGGCAGGAGGAGCAGGTTTCTTGGCAACACCTTTTGCAGGCTCATCTTCTGAAGCAGAGTCTGAAGAATCTTCTGAACTGGATTCTTTAGGTTTTACAGGGGTCTTTACCATTGGCACTGCTGGCTTTTTGGCAACGGGTTTTGCAGATTCATCCTCTTCAGAACTAGACTCTTCTGAGCTGGATTCTTCTGCTTGTGCAGCAACTGGCTTTTGGGGCACAGATGGCTTTTTAGCAACAGGTTTTGTAAGTTCCTCCTCTTCCTCTGAACTGGACTCCTCTGAACTGGACTCTGCTGCTTTTGCAACAGCTGGTTTTTGAGTCTGAGCTGGTTTTTTGACAGTTGGCTTTTTAGGTTCTTCCTCTTCTGAACTAGATTCTTCTGAACTAGATTCTGCTTGCTTAATAGCTGCTAGTTTCTGATCTGTTGGTTTCTTTACTACTGGTTTTGGAGGTTCTTCTTCTGAACTTGACTCCTCCGAACTGGATTCTGCAGGCTTTACCGGTTCAGCATTCTTTTGGGCAGGAGTGGCAACAGGTTTTGGGGGTTCATCTTCCTCAGAACTTGATTCCTCTGAACTGGATTCTTTTGGCTTTGCTGTCTTCTTTTGGACAGGGGGAGGTGGTTTCTTAACAACAGGCTCTTCTTCTGAACTTGATTCTTCTGAACTAGATTCTTCAGGCTTTGGAGTTCCCTTTACTACTGATGTAGCTGGCTTTTGCACAGGAACAGGTTTCTTAGCAACAGGCTTTGCAGGCTCATCCTCTTCTGAACTAGATTCCTCAGAGCTGGACTCGGCCGGTTTGGCTACAGGCTTTGGCGTGGTTTGTTTTGTGATACTAACAGGGGTTTTGGCAGGCCCTGAAATAAAGGAACACAATACTTGTAGATAATATATTCCAACACATTCAAGCAGCCTATAGCCCTATACACGAAGCAAAAATGTAAAACATTTGTTATATCTAATTCAACTCTGAGTAAGTGGCCATAACATAAATCACTAAATGTTTCTTTTTCCCTCACATAGCAATATTACAAAGAAACACCTCTCAGCCCAACAGTCATTGTTCAACTATCTCATCAACCACACAAGCAGCAAACTTGAAAACAATTTCCTCTTTTCAGTACAGTGGAGCCTCTTTGTTTTTAACTAAAAAAGGGAAAGGTGGTTCAAAATATTGATATTTTGACACACATTCCTAGTAAGAAATAATTCACATTAATCCTCCATTAATGTTTAAAGTACCATATGTTCTTATAATCCCCAATTATTGAAAAAAATTAATTAATAATATTTTGACCATAACTACACACATTAATTAAGACTGGATGGGTTTCTCCTCTGTGAATATAGCACTGTGGTGATACTATATAATTATGATGCTCCTTCTCCTGTGTCATCATGGCAGCTGGATACAAAGTCTATTCAGTATTCAGTTCACTAGATTCATCCTTAAAAGTGATTTAACTGTACACTGGAACATTAAAACTTAAAATTGTAGGTACCGTATATTTCAGCCAATAAATTGATCTTTGAAGCTCCAATTTTTGTGTCCAAAACTAGAGGTCGTCTAACACATCTAATAGAAAATGTCAACCTCTAAGTATGTGCCACCACTAGCATCAGATTTTTACTTTACCTTACTGGTAGGTCTCAGTCACTTAATTTCCAGCACTCACAAACAAGTTTTACCTTAACTATAGCATTTTTCCAGAAGGGTAACGTTTTTCAAAACATTAAAATATCTTTCGGTGTTATCTACGGTTTCCTACAAGCAAGCATTACTAGGGTAGTTATTGTATTATTTGTCGTTAAATTGTTTAAAAATGCAGTTATGGTATATTCGTGTATTGCACCTGGATTCTGAAATGTTTACACGAATGTGGTGTAAAGTTGTCAACGACACAGGCCCCTGGGAACAGCTGACTGGCCTGAAGCAGCTTGGCCAGTGTTGCCATCGCCGCCGGTGACTCAGAGGCAGTTGGCAGACCCATATGATGGATGATCTTTATTGTCTGATAATGATGAACCAGCATTTGAAGGATTTGGAAACTTGGATGGTTTTCATTGGTATTAAATATTAACTTAACTTTAAGAAAATTTTATTTTTTATTGTTTTAGTTATAAATAAAATCATATTTAATAATTTATCGGCACCACAGACTAGACTTTGAACGCTTCTTGCCGCAATCTGCTGGTACAGTGCAGTGTACAGTACATTAAAGCTCCCGTTAACCTCATTGCAGTCAACATCATTAAAGAAAATGCAGGGACTCAGCACCTGATTATGATAACAGCTGGCTGTGTAAGCGACCAGCGTCATTGTTATTGTTCGGTGGTTGGATATGCTCTTTCAACATTCACTCAAAATCCAATTATAAATTTATTTGAGCCCTAGAACAAGGATTGTTAAATGTGCATTATGCACCATTACTGGTTGTTGTCACAGAAAGAAGAATAAGAGTGTTACATTAGAAGCTAAATTAGATGTAGTAAAGAGATTTGAAGGACAGTGAGCTGTGGATACAGCAAGAACTCTCGGTTAGCAGCCTACAATTGTAGATAAGATCAATTTGTGGAAATGCAGAAAATATCAAATCATGTGCTAAAAGTGTTACTCCATATCTGCTACAAAGTTAACTCATAACAGAAGTGACATTATGGAAAATATGGAAAGAATACTGAACACTTCGATCAAGGATCAACACCAACAAAACATTTGTGGCAAGTTGTGATAAAATTTTGACCAGAAATGTACCAAAGGAACATAACCCCTATTTATATCACGGTGTCTATGGTAAAATTGTTTTTACTTAAAGGTGTGGTTTTCAGGAACCGAAATTTCGGTTAACGAGTTAGCTCCCATAAGGATTTTCAGTTCCATTAACAAACAAAACTTTGATTAACGACAGACTTACAAAAAACACACTTTGTTGTGTGCATCATCTGATCAGCTAGTCCACCAATACAGTAATTGGTTCTATGTTTACATTCGTTTCTAGTGGATTAAATATCAAGAAAGTTGGTCTCTTGAACATTTTTGCATTTTTTTAAATTAAATTATTGGTCATTCTGAAATTTAGTAAACATATTGATAATATACAGTGCAGAAATTATTATGAAACTGAAGAAGGCATTAGAACCAATGCACTCTGTAAAGAATATGGCATGTCATCATCGACTGCCTTTACAATCAGCTGTTTGATATGTAAACAAAGTTGCCGGGAATACGACCTACACACCTCAAAGTAAGTTAAAATACAGTATTCTATTGTTTTTATTTGTTATTGTACAGTATATACTGTACTGTACAGTACTGTATTTAGTTTATATTTAATGTTTTGTTAATTCTATTACTGGTATACAGTACTTTGTATGTATACTTTTACTGTGAGTTGTTGGAACCAATTACCCAATATTTCATTGAAATAATATTCAGTTAACAAAATTTTCGGTTAACATCCGACTCTGTGGAACCAATTGTGTTCGTTAATCGAGAGACCACTGTACTGTCAATATGATGTACAGTACAACATACACTGCTGATCATGTACCATAATTAAGTTTGTAAGAAAATAGTAGTTAACACTGAAAGGAATTTTAACATTTTAAAAATGCTACAATTACTGTAGGTATAACTTGTTTGCAAGTGCTGTTTAAAAAGTATATGTTGGCAAGTTTAGCTGACACCGAGGATGTACTTTAAAACTGCCGTTTACAGGGTCGACATAACTGCAGGGTATAGGCCTAGATAAAAATTTTCACTTAAAATAACTAAGGTCGTTTTACACACCAGGTCGACTTATAGGCTGCTATATACGGTAGTTAAATTTTAGAACACTTGGAGGCATTTCATTATACTGAATATACTGTATTTATAAGTTGCCAGTTATTGAAGTTATATTGGTAATATCTATTCATAAATTCTAACATATTAACAATGTAAAATCATACACAAATATAGTAAAATAATAATTACTCACACGGTACAATAATGCATAAGGCTATTCAGCCAGATAGCGGTCAAATAACTCCTGCACTTAATATAAACCGGGAGGTAATGAAGGTTAGGTAGGTTTGGTTGTTGCTATCAACCATGTACTTATTACTGATTATGTTATCCTAACTAACCAAACATACCAAATCTTTCCTAACTGGGCACCCAGGTTAGGAAAGACAGATTATATACTGTATATCAGTTCTAGGAAAGACAGATTATATACTGTTTATCACTTCTAGTCATTTGTGAGGGAAATGTCATACAAGAAGTGTCTTAGAATTGTCTAAATTATTGTTTGAAAAAAATAAAAAGGGCTGGGGCAAAAGCAATACAATAATAGCTTTGAATTTTTCAAGTAGTCTTCTGATTTTCAACTCCCAATATCTTGGTTATAGGAGGCAAAAGGCGAGACAAGTGTCATAGAAGAAAATCTTCTTGATTTTGTCTGACATTATTATTATTATACAGTAAAGCCTCTGATAACGATGGTTCGACCTACGACTATTCATATTTAAGACCCTGGTTAATTTAGGACCCAAATCAATTTACATCATTATTTTATTCATATTTACGACAAAAATATAATAAAAATAAAATAACATTTTCATATAAATAATAACCAAGTCCCGATATATATTAAAAAAAATTCTGTGAAAAAAAGAAGAGCGCCTTGCGCAAAGAAGCTGCCGGGCTAATGCGCATCACCATAAACAACAGTCGGAGCTTGGCGGTCCCTTTGTTTTCATGCATCTAAACAGGAACAGGAGAAAAACTTTCTCGGGTCTCTTACAGCACTTTTGAGTGCCAATTCAACCTGAGCAAGAGAGCAAGTGATGGTAGTGCTGGTTCAAAAGCTAAAAGAAAATACATAAGCTTAGCCGAGAAGCTAGATGGGTTAAAACGATATGCAAAAGGTGAGAGGTATGTGGATATTATATGAAGCAAGCAATGAATATATTATTATTTTCTGAAGTGGATCCATTAACAGAACGAAGCGTTAAAATTAACAGGGACGTGAAAAACACATATGACCTCTACATAAAGATGTATGAGAAAAAAAAAGTGACTGTGAAAGGTTCTTTCGAAAGCTTTATTATTCAAATGCCTCAACCATCAACTTCAGCTTTAGTAGTAGTTTCAGCAACAGCTAAATCATCTTTATGGAAAGCTCCAGCTTGAGTAGAACCTGATCGACGAAATCATGAGTAAAATAGCACAATATTCATTAGCTGTCCTTGTTTTAGACTTTACCACCATTTGTGAGTAGAATTTCTGTTTTACATTAGTAAGTATTATTTAAAACATATATGAACAGTAATAAGTGTTGCTTACATATTCTTATGTACAGCTACTCCCTGACTTACGACGGGGTTAGGGACCGACATCCAGGTCGTAAGTCGAAATGGTCGTAAGTCGGAAATGCTTAAATAATACATAGAAAATCTAAAATGGGGGTCTCTTTTTCTTCTCAGCACCACAAAACACTCACTTTTAAGCTTGCCAGCCATTTTAAAGTGAATTACAGATGAAAATTTTGTCTGTGTACTGACTTTGTGACTCGAAAATACGTAATTTGACCAAATTTGGGTACGACTGAGGCAGGTCGTAAGTGCGGGTGGACGTAAGTCGAGTAGGTCATAAGTTGGGGAGGAGCTGTACTAGAGAAATGATGATATTTTAACATATACGCACTTACATACAATGGCGTTCCCAACCTATTTCGTTTTTTCTTTACCATTAATGGTTAGCTACTTCTATTGTTCCATTTATTAACTAAATACATACAGTGGGGTATGCTATAACGAATCTAACTGGTTCTAGAACCTTGTTCGTTATAGCATTCGTTCGTTATAGGATTAA